CAGAGCTATGCTTCTTCAGTGGAGCGGCATTGTATGGTATTCTTCAATCTGCAAATGGCCCAATGGATTCATATGTAAATCACTGTTTACTGATTGTCAGGTTTCAGAAGGATGGTGCGTTATGGTATTTTCGTTGTTTTTATGTTGGGGGTCATATAGTCAAGACACATAAGCACTCGTTGTCGTTGTGAGGGTAATTATTCCTTAAAAGACGGTGTAATTGCTGTTCCTACGGTATGTTGCAAGCACCTTGTGTAGAAAAGCTAGGAATTTAGCAAGGGTCACAGTTGGTGACGTTCTGTCAATATAATTGGCTTCAGGTAACGATCAAAATAATTTCCTTATCCTTTACTGGCTCAGCAGTTCTATACACACCAAGACACGAACACACTACGTTATACATGGAAGACTCAGTTCAAAACTTCCGGTCATCTGCCAACGGCCAATCGGCTTTGACATGGTGACCGTTTGACCGTTTCGTTTTGGTCATTTTTCGTGAAGACGATATGCAACGTCGTATTGGGGTGATGCTAGCAGATTACGAGTTAGTGCACCGTTTCTCAGCCTCAGTGATAAAGCCCTACTTCGGGTCCGCAATGGCACCGTTATATCCTACCTAGTCAACCTCGATGGAGTTGTGTGTTGTAATAGCGGTACCACAACCAGGCCAAATCGATATTCGAGATCGTCATACATGAAAACATCGTTAACTATTTATGATTGGGAAAAGTTTATTTTTCAGATGTGCCATAACTGTAAACACTATTGAAAAAAACTGTCAAGCTTCACTGCCAGTCTTTATCAGCGAACATGACAGAGAACAACAAACTAATCTTAAATAGATTTAAAGTCATACTTTAATAGATGTTGAGTTTAGCTCAGTGGATTCAACTGTTTTCCATTTCTTTCCTGGTTTGACAACCGCAGTGTATTCTGTAAAATATTTAGATTTAGAAATCCTGAAAATGAACTTTCTGTCAAATCTGATGTTCACCAGTGTGATTATTGCCGGATTCCTCGGAACATACATCTATGCCGAAGAGCAAGCGCTCCTCACTACACTAAGTAAGATGAACATAATTTCATATTCTTTCTGTCGTTTGTGCAATTGTTTAGTAAGTCGTAACTAAAACCGTCAGGCAGCTGCATTGAAAACCTGCTCACCTTTTATACTAGATTTAAATTTCTGGATTTCCTAGGAAGTTTTCATATCGAAATGAAATGAAGGTTTCCATTTTACTTTTTCAATAACGATTATTATCAAAAATGCCAATTGCAACTCCAATCCCTTCTTTATCAAACAATTAAAAAGCTCTTTGTGGTGTCTTATTACTTCCGCTGTCATTATCTACTGTCTTCCGCAGCTTTTGTATGGCAGTAAATTCCGATTAATCAGCTCATTTCGCCATTATATTTAGGTTTGCTTTCCTTTTCAAGGCTTATGCTAAGAAGGGGAATTCCACAGAAAACACAATGGCGTATCATGGGGTGAAATTGCGACACTCACAAGCATCTAAAATGCAAATTGTTCAAAGTTATAATTGTGATTTTTCCACAGTTTTGCCAATTAACATATAATCATTAATATAATGGGTTAAAGTTGTCTGTTATGAAATGAGACTCGCCGATGTGGTCAATCTGTGCGAAATGAGCGTCAGTTGCCGACGGAAGTTGATGTGAAAGCATATTGTTTCAGACTTGGCGAAATAAAGCCAATTAAATTCTTGGAATTATTATTCTAAATATATAATAGCTGGCATAATTTAAGGAGAAAGCTGATGATGGTCATGTTGATGGCATATCACGAAATCGTTGAACAATGTTGTTTAGGGAGATACCAACTTTTGGCTAATGAATATAGATTTTGAAATGACTAGTGAAGTAAACTTGTGCCAAACAACGGCTCGATGTTGAGGTAAGCGAATATCAAGAATATCTGATTGTCAGCAGTTCAACCGCGTTCAACAGTGATAGATCATAACTAAATGTTTACATAGTGGTATGAAGTCTAAGCAACC